GGCAACCCCTGAAAAAAAAGGGACGAAAGAAGCCGAAAAGAAAAAGAAGAAGATGACTTCTAACACACCTACACACATCCGGGGAATACATTATATCTGCAGCCCTCTGGTGGCAGGGGGTAGAACTGCAACTCATTAACTTAACATTACTTATCATTACAGGGAAGACCTAGGACACGCTGGAGCGACTACGTCGCTCGGCCCCCACGACCCGGCCCCGTATAGGCGGATGATGATGGATGGATGGGTGGATGGATGGAAGGTGACTCCATGCAGCACAGATGTGAAGCTGTTCTCAAAAACAGTGGTTATACAACTAAATATTAGTTTAGTGATTCACAGGAATACTAAAGCTTAACGTTTTTTTCAGTTTATTAAAAATAGTAAATATCTGAGTTTGTAATGAAAAATGCAGTCTGCTATTTATTTGAACAGCCCAATATCATTTTTCCTTCAATTTCTTTTTTCTTCATGTTTTGATGTAAAATATAATGTGCAGCGTTCCCAACGAATGGAAATTAAAAATATTATAAGGATTTTGAGCTTTACTCACATTTTAAAAAACACTGCTATTATTTTGAACACAACTGTATATTTGTGTGACCCTGTATTAAATAAAATTGTATTTTTTTTTCAGCTAACAACCCATTTAGATGATAGAGAAATTAGTAAAGATTAAATATTCCCACATATCACAAACAAACACACGTTAACAAGTTGGGAGACACAGACCTCATCACAGTGTCAATTTTCCAATTACACAACAGAAGTCAAAGGTTTGACAGGTCTGTCGTACCTCATAGTTGGCACAACAGCAAACCTCCACTCGTCTATTTGAATCGAGCCGAGAAAAAGGACAGCCGTGTCCCTGAGATGGATAAATCCTCTGCAGGTTTATCGAAATGTCAGTGAAGGCAGCAGCCTGTACATGACATCCTGTCTTCACAGAGACGCTACACGAAAAGAAGGTAAAACATCACCTAGTGGTGGGAATAAAGTATTAGTTTGGTCGAGCAAATGTTTGATTTGAGAGAGATATATGGATAGATAGATGGATGGATAGATGGGTGGACCGACGGATGAACAAACGGACGGACAGACAGACAGACAGACGGATAGACAGACAGACAGATAGATAGATAGATAGATAGATAGATAGATAGATAGATAGATAGATAGATAGAAAGAAAGACAGACAGATATACAGACAAACTGATAGATAAAGAGAGAGAGCGATAGATAGATAGATGATAGATAGAT